ATGGTTCTGAGCCACCAAACACACTTAAAGCATGCAGAATCGACTCAGAATAGGAAAAGGAGACGTTTAGGTCAATTTTATGCATTCTGGCGTTCGTAGATACAAGAAAACTGTTAAAATTCTTCAGAAACGTCACTTTTGAAGTGTTTTCTTGTACTTTTAAGCCAATCAGATACCCTATGGGCTCGGAAAGTGCAACGAAACCATCAAATTTTAGCTAGAAACTGTATTTGTGTCGATTTTTATTGAATTTGAACTATATTTCAACGTTTTTTGATGGTTCTGAGCCACCAAACACACTTAAAGCATGCAGAATCGACTCAGAATAGGAAAAGGAGACGTTTAGGTCAATTTTATGCATTCTGGCGTTCGTAGATACAACAAAACTGTTAAAATTCTTCAGAAACGTCACTTTTGAAGTGTTTTCTTGTACTTTTAAGCCAATCAGATACCCTACGGGCTCGGAAAGTGCAACGAAACCACCAAATTTTAGCTAGAAACTGTATTTTTGTCGATTTTTATTGAATTTGAACTATATTTCAACGTTTTTTGATGGTTCTGAGCCACCAAACACACTTAAAGCATGCAGAATCGACTCAGAATAGGAAAAGGAGACGTTTAGGTCAATTTTATGCATTCTGGCGTTCGTAGATACAAGAAAACTGTTAAAATTCTTCAGAAACGTCACTTTTGAAGTGTTTTCTTGTACTTTTAAGCCAATCAGATACCGTACGGGCTCGGAAAGTGCAACGAAACCATCAAATTTTAGCTAGAAACTGTATTTTTGTCGATTTTTATTGAATTTGAACTATATTTCAACGTTTTTTGATGGTTCTGAGCCACCAAGCACACTTAAAGCATGCAGAATCGACTCAGAATAGGAAAAGGAGACGTTTAGGTCAATTTTATGCATTCTGGCGTTCGTAGATACAAGAAAACTGTTAAAATTCTTCAGAAACGTCACTTTTGAAGTGTTTTCTTGTACTTTTAAGCCAATCAGATACCCTACGGGCTCGGAAAGTGCAACGAAACCATCAAATTTTAGCTAGAAACTGTATTTTTGTCGATTTTTATTGAATTTGAACTATATTTCAACGTTTTTTGATGGTTCTGAGCCACCAAACACACTTAAAGCATGCAGAATCGACTCAGAATAGGAAAAGGAGACGTTTAGGTCAATTTTATGCATTCTGGCGTTCGTAGATACAAGAAAACTGTTAAAATTCTTCAGAAACGTCACTTTTGAAGTGTTTTCTTGTACTTTTAAGCCAATCAGATACCCTACGGGCTCGGAAAGTGCAACGAAACCATCAAATTTTAGCTAGAAACTGTATTTTTGTCGATTTTTGTTGAATTTGAACTATATTTCAACGTTTTTTGATGGTTCTGAGCCACCAAACACACTTAAAGCATGCAGAATCGACTCAGAATAGGAAAAGGAGACGTTTAGGTCAATTTTATGCATTCTGGCGTTCGTAGATACAAGAAAACTGTTAAAATTCTTCAGAAACGTCACTTTTGAAGTGTTTTCTTGTACTTTTAAGCCAATCAGATACCCAACGGGCTCGGAAAGTGCAACGAAACCATCAAATTTTAGCTAGAAACTGTATTTTTGTCGATTTTTATTGAATTTGAACTATATTTCAACGTTTTTTGATGGTTCTGAGCCACCAAACACACTTAAAGCATGCAGAATCGACTCAGAATAGGAAAAGGAGACGTTTAGGTCAATTTTATGCATTCTGGCGTTCGTAGATACAAGAAAACTTTTAAAATTCTTCAGAAACGTCACTTTTGAAGTGTTTTCTTGTACTTTTAAGCCAATCAGATAACCTACGGGCTCGGAAAGTGCAACGAAACCATCAAATTTTAGCTAGAAACTGTATTTTTGTCGATTTTTATTGAATTTGAACCATATTTCAACGTTTTTTGATGGTTCTGAGCCACCAAACACACTTAAAGCATGCAGAATCGACTCAGAATAGGAAAAGGAGACGTTTAGGTCAATTTTATGCATTCTGGCGTTCGTAGATACAAGAAAACTGTTAAAATTCTTCAGAAACGTCACTTTTGAAGTGTTTTCTTGTACTTTTAAGCCAATCAGATACCCTACGGGCTCGGAAAGTGCAACGAAACCGTCAAATTTTAGCTAGAAACTGTATTTTTGTCGATTTTTATTGAATTTGAACTATGTTTCAACGTTTTTTGATGGTTCTGAGCCACCAAACACACTTAAAGCATGCAGAATCGACTCAGAATAGGAAAAGGAGACGTTTAGGTCAATTTTATGCATTCTGGCGTTCGTAGATACAAGAAAACTGTTAAAATTCTTCAGAAACGTCACTTTTGAAGTGTTTTCTTGTACTTTTAAGCCAATCAGATACCCTACGGGCTCGGAAAGTGCAACGAAACCATCAAATTTTAGCTAGAAACTGTATTTTTGTCGATTTTTATTGAATTTGAACTATATTTCAACGTTTTTTGATGGTTCTGAGCCACCAAACACACTTAAAGCATGCAGAATCGACTCAGAATAGGAAAAGGAGACGTTTAGGTCAATTTTATGCATTCTGGCGTTCGTAGATACAAGAAAACTGTTAAAATTCTTCAGAAACGTCACTTTTGAAGTGTTTTCTTGTACTTTTAAGCCAATCAGATACCCTACGGGCTCGGAAAGTGCAACGAAACCATCAAATTTTAGCTAGAAACTGTATTTTTGTCGATTTTTATTGAATTTGAACTATATTTCAACGTTTTTTGATGGTTCTGAGCCACCAAACACACTTGAAGCATGCAGAATCGACTCAGAATAGGAAAAGGAGACGTTTAGGTCAATTTTATGCATTCTGGCGTTCGTAGATACAAGAAACCTGTTAAAATTCTTCAGAAACGTCACTTTTGAAGTGTTTTCTTGTACTTTTAAGCCAATCAGATACCCTACGGGCTCGGAAAGTGCAACGAAACCGTCAAATTTTAGCTAGAAACTCTATTTTTGTCGATTTTTATTGAATTTGAACTATATTTCAACGTTTTTTGATGGTTCTGAGCCACCAAACACACTTAAAGCATGCAGAATCGACTCAGAATAGGAAAAGGAGACGTTTAGGTCAATTTTATGCATTCTGGCGTTCGTAGATACAAGAAAACTGTTAAAATTCTTCAGAAACCTCACTTTTGAAGTGTTTTCTTGTACTTTTAAGCCAATCAGATACCCTACGGGCTCGGAAAGTGTAACGAAACCATCAAATTTTAGCTAGAAACTGTATTTTTGTCGATTTTTATTGAATTTGAATTATATTTCAACGTTTTTTGATGGTTCTGAGCCACCAAACACACTTAAAGCATGCAGAATCGACTCAGAATAGGAAAAGGAGACGTTTAGGTCAATTTTATGCATTCTGGCGTTCGTAGATACAAGAAAACTGTTAAAATTCTTCAGAAACGTCACTTTTGAAGTGTTTTCTTGTACTTTTAAGCCAATCAGATACCCTACGGGCTCGGAAAGTGCAACGAAACCATCAAATTTTAGCTAGAAACTGTATTTTTGTCGATTTTTATTGAATTTGAACTATATTTCAACGTTTTTTGATGGTTCTGAGCCACCAAACACACTTAAAGCATGCAGAATCGACTCAGAATAGGAAAAGGAGACGTTTAGGTCAATTTTATGCATTCTGGCGTTCGTAGATACAAGAAAACTGTTAAAATTCTTCAGAAACGTCACTTTTGAAGTGTTTTCTTGTACTTTTAAGCCAATCAGATACCCAACGGGCTCGGAAAGTGCAACGAAACCATCAAATTTTAGCTAGAAACTGTATTTTTGTCGATTTTTATTGAATTTGAACTATGTTTCAACGTTTTTTGATGGTTCTGAGCCACCAAACACACTTAAAGCATGCAGAATCGACTCAGAATAGGAAAAGGAGACGTTTAGGTCAATTTTATGCATTCTGGCGTTCGTAGATACAAGAAAACTGTTAAAATTCTTCAGAAACGTCACTTTTGAAGTGTTTTCTTGTGCATTTAAGCCAATCAGATACCCTACGGGCTCGGAAAGTGCAACGAAACCATCAAATTTTAGCTAGAAACTGTATTTTTGTCGATTTTTATTGAATTTGAACTATATTTCAACGTTTTTTGATGGTTTTGAGCCACCAAACACACTTAAAGCATGCAGAATCGACTCAGAATAGGAAAAGGAGACGTTTAGGTCAATTTTATGCATTCTGGCGTTCGTAGATACAAGAAAACTGTTAAAATTCTTCAGAAACGTCAGTTTTGAAGTGTTTTCTTGTACTTTTAAGCCAATCAGATACCCTACGGGCTCGGAAAGTGCAACGAAACCATCAAATTTTAGCTAGAAACTGTATTTTTGTCGATTTTTATTGAATTTGAACTATATTTCAACGTTTTTTGATGGTTCTGAGCCACCAAACACACTTAAAGCATGCAGAATCGACTCAGAATAGGAAAAGGAGACGTTTAGGTCAATTTTATGCATTCTGGCGTTCGTAGATACAAGAAAACTGTTAAAATTCTTCAGAAACGTCACTTTTGAAGTGTTTTCTTGTACTTTTAAGCCAATCAGATACCCTACGGGCTTGGAAAGTGCAACGAAACCATCAAATTTTATTATTATTATTATTATTATTATTATTAAATTACGGCCCCAACAGGCAAAAGCCCAATTACGGAGACCAAAAAAAAAAAAAAAAAAAAGAAACAAAGCTAAAACTGAAAATATGATATAGTTGGACAAAACCAATAAAGTTATTATACTATTAATATAACCATCAGCTGAAATACTCAATGAAAACTACTATTTTACCAAATATTTAACACTACAAAGACACTATTTAAACATATACCACTCCATTATTGGTTAACTATAATGAAGACAAGTCTTAATAGTTATTCTCTCTAAAAGAATATTAAGGAATACATAAATGACCAAACATAACAAATAATTATTACGGACTGTAGACAAAAAGATAGCACACCTAACACAAAATGGTAGAAGCAGTAGCACAAATGCTAGCCAAACTGTCATAAAACATGTCACATCCATAAGAGACACAATTGAAATTTTTACAACTCACAAACAGTGGACACTTTCTCCCAAGATTGGTCATACAACGACGAGTTTTAAAAACCTCCTGATGCCGTGAATTAAATCGAGGAACTAAGAAACACAGTTGTTGCGTGAGTCCTATACAATCTATACGGTTATGAACAAGATTATAGACAAATTTAATAGAAGCAATATCTCTCCTCTGTTTCAAAGAACTTAGCTCAAAACGATTTAACAAACTTGACTCAACAACACCTCTCTCAGGATAAGTTCCAGTTTCAACAAAAAACAAAAACTTGAGAAATCTTCGCTGGACCTTCTCCAACGCCAGAGACTGGTAAGTGTATATTGGATACCATGCCAAGGAGCAGTATTCCAGTTTAGATCTGACTAAACAAAAATATAGAAGTTTAAGCACTCTCACATCTTTAAATGGCTTGGCATTTCTTATTACGAACCCCAATAATTTATAGGATGAAGATGTTATTTCTGTAATGTGACTTGAAAACGAGAGTTTGTCATCATACAGAATGCCTAAGTCTCTTACCATCGAAGATCTTTTGACAGGAAAATTACAGACCTGATAGTTGAACTGGATCTTAGACTTCTTTCTAGAGTAGGACACTATTGAACACTTGGAAGGATTCAACTCCAGACCATTTTGTTCACACCATAAGTCAATTTTACGTAAGTCATCCTGTAGAGCAAGACAGTCATCAATAGTGTTAATCGTTTTTGCCACCTTGGCATCATCCGCAAATAGTGATATAAACGATTGGGAAACCATTTCAGGAAGATCATTAATGAAAAGTACGAATAAGAGTGGCCCGAGGGTGGAACCCTGAGGTACGCCAGATCTTTGAAAGTAGGATTCAGAAGCATAACCATCAATAACAACACGCAGAGGACGGTCTGCTAAATACGAACTAAACAGTTTTAGCAAAGGTGTAGATATACCAAAACACTCCAACTTGGACAAAAGTCTTGTATGCAATACCTTGTCAAATGCTTTGCTCAGGTCAAGATAAACGACATCCACTTGGTTTCGCGAATCCAATGATTGTGACAAGAATTCAGAAAACTGTGCTAAGTTTGTTAGAGTAGAGCGACCGGGTATAAAACCATGTTGATGTTCAGTAATCTGCGATCTAAGTGACATGCTCAAACGACGGTGTAAAATGTATTCAAATATTTTAGAAAAATTAGGCAGAATTGAAATGGGTCTATATTTAGAGATGTTATTGCGATCACCATCCTTAAAGATCGGTACCACTCTTGCTTCCTTCCACACTTCCGGAAAAGTTGTTGTATCCAGAGAAAGATTAAAGATAAAGTGTAGAGGTTCCGCCATTACGTAGATGCAATCCTTAATTAAAAATTCCGGTATAGCATCACAACCAGCACACCTGTTCCCCTTAAGTCTTCTACCAGCACCAATTATCTCATCAATCGTGACCGACGTTACAGCACAGCATGACACCTCTCGAACTGTTGTTTCAGAATGTCTATCATCTGGGGAATTAAATACACTGGAGAAGTACTCAGCAAATCCTGCAGCAATTTCTTGCTGTGTTTCAAGACGCCTGTCGAGGTAGGTCATTGATTGAGGCATACAATTGCCATCTCTTTTGCCACGAATAAAAGACCAAAACTGTTTAGGATCTCCCTTCAGGTTGTCCTTAATTTTATCTAAATAGGCTTGATAATCTAATCTTTGCTTTGTCTTACTTTGTTTGCGTATTTCAGTAAACTTGGTGTAAAAAAATTGGGATTTATTTATTTTGTATCGCATAAAGAGACGATTTTTACTTAATAGCATTTTCTTTAATTCAGGCGAGAACCACACAGGGTATTTTCTTTTACATTTTTTCATTTTAGGGACAAACTTATCCAAAACTTCATACAGTTTAGAATAAAAGAAAGCACAGGCTACGTTCATATTAGTCTGTTGTCGAAGAAAGGACCAATCAACATTCTGAAGCGCTTCATATAGAGCGGTAAAGTTAGCTCGACCAAAGTTATATTGTTTAACGTCATCAGATAGTTGAGTTTTGAAGAGTTTGAAATGTTTCATTTCCAATGAAATAGCTAAGGATGGATGATAGGGGTCTTCTTCCAGAATATTGTTAAAATCACGCTTTACCTCACATGTAGTGAGCTCAATATCATGAATAACCACATCCAGACTGCGATTGATGTTATTAGGGATAGAGTTGCATTGATCCAGGTTTGTAAAAGATAAAAAATCATTGTATGCACTAATGCTAGACTTGAATGAATATAAGTTGAAGTCGCCTAGAATTATGATGTGACCAAGGTCTATCACATATTCAGCAAGACTGTTAAAAAACTCTTCAAACTCGAGAATTGGTGTCTTTTGTGAAATATAAATGCAAAACACATATAATGATTTATGCTTACAAGATATCTTCACTCCAACTATATCAATAAAGCAAAAATTCTTCCAATGAAGACTGAGAAGATCAACTTTGTGATCACTTGCAATGGCCAGTAGCACTCCGCCGCCCCTACTAAGACCAGTAGTAAGTGGATCTCTGTCAGCACGGTAGACATTGAACAAATGGTTTTCAAATAACTCACTATTACATACATCTGCAGAAAGCCATGTCTCGGTAAAAGCTATTATATCAAAACCGGCATCAGATGTTTGATTAAGTAATTCATGTGTTTTAGTACGAAGACCTCTCACATTCTGGTAATAAATAGAGAAACTAAACTTATTATTGGAGGTGGATCTTTGAACCTGAGTAGCTCCGCTGCTAGATAAATGAGAAGTATTAGTAGGTGGAAGGGAGGTCATACATGATTGTGATGTAAGAGTACTTATGATTTTATTGGATCTAATACCCCGAACATTTTGATGACAAACATTCAGAGTCTCTGACGATGAGTTGTAAAAGTTAATTTCTGAAATACTAGAATATTCATTATTATTTAGTAACGAACTTTTATTAGTTGGTAATGCCGGTCCTTGTTCTTTGAGCCTGTTTCTGAAAAAGATTTTAGTTTCGGGGTTGGTCACGAAATAAATCCTTTTTAAAATGTTCTAACGCCATCTTGTAAGATTCGCAGTCATTGTAATCCCAAACAGCATGGTTTATGTTTAAGTTCTCACGGCGATTCCGCAAGGATTGGCAATTAATGCAGCGTTTCTTGTCAGAAGATTCGGATTTACTTTTGTAAAGCGAACAATCGTTAATGGTGTGCTTATCAGCACACAAAGGGCAACTGACCGGACTTTTGCACTGCTTTTTAGTATGGAAGTAGCCATTACAGTTGTAGCAGCGCGGCACTGTAATCGCATCGTACACTGAGCATGGATTAAGCCCAACAAGAACATGACCAGACTTTAAAAGCAAATTATATGTTGCGCTATCGACCTCGAGATCAGCTTGAAAGATATCTCGGTTAGAGCGTGTTGGCCAGAAACGAATAAGCTTTGTAAACGAGAATTCACTAATCAAATCGGGATTTTGCTTTTTCAGATACGACAAAAATGAACTTTCAGACATACCGGCAGGAATACCTACCACTCGCACTCTTGGATACAGAACATTAACCTCTCTAATGTCGTAATTTTGCGCAAGACTAGTTGCAGCAATTTGTTTTAATTTTTTGCCACAATTTTCATCCTTACAAGAAATTATTAAGCCTCCACTGGACACAGGCTTCACCTTTGTGATTGCAATTTCTTCCTCTATTATATTCACATTTTTCAGAACATCAGAACGAGTTTTTGTTACCGACTGTGCAGTATTTTTCGGCTTTACTACAATTTTTTTCTCAACAACAACCTTCGAAGCATAAGAGTCTTTCCCCAATGGCAAAGATTTCGCAGTTGCCAAAACATCACTGTTGCCAGATGTCAGCAATTTGACCAAATCTATGTTGCTCTCCTTTAGGACATTTACTTCAGATTTTAGCTAGAAACTGTATTTTTGTCGATTTTTATTGAATTTGAACTATATTTCAACGTTTTTTGATGGTTCTGAGCCACCAAACACACTTAAAGCATGCAGAATCGACTCAGAATAGGAAAAGGAGACGTTTAGGTCAATTTTATGCATTCTGGCGTTCGTAGATACAAGAAAACTGTTAAAATTCTTCAGAAACGTCACTTTTGAAGTGTTTTCTTGTACTTTTAAGCCAATCAGATACCCTACGGGCTCGGAAAGTGCAACGAAACCATCAAATTTTAGCTAGAAACTGTATTTTTGTCGATTTTTATTGAATTTGAACTATATTTCAACGTTTTTTGATGGTTCTGAGCCACCAAACACACTTAAAGCATGCAGAATCGACTCAGAATAGGAAAAGGAGACGTTTAGGTCAATTTTATGCATTCTGGCGTTCGTAGATACAAGAAAACTGTTAAAATTCTTCAGAAACGTCACTTTTGAAGTGTTTTCTTGTACTTTTAAGCCAATCAGATACCCTACGGGCTCGGAAAGTGGAACGAAACCATCAAATTTTAGCTAGAAACTGTATTTTTGTCGATTTTTATTGAATTTGAACTATATTTCAACGTTTTTTGATGGTTCTGAGCCACCAAACACACTTAAAGCATGCAGAATCGACTCAGAATAGGAAAAGGAGACGTTTAGGTCAATTTTATGCATTCTGGCGTTCGTAGATACAAGAAAACTGTTAAAATTCTTCAGAAACGTCACTTTTGAAGTGTTTTCTTGTACTTTTAAGCCAATCAGATACCCTACGGGCTCGGAAAGTGCAACGAGACCATCAAATTTTAGCTAGAAACTATATTTTTGTCGATTTTTATTGAATTTGAACTATATTTCAACGTTTTTTGATGGTTCTGAGCCACCAAACACACTTAAAGCATGCAGAATCGACTCAGAATAGGAAAAGGAGACGTTTAGGTCAATTTTATGCATTCTGGCGTTCGTAGATACAAGAAAACTGTTAAAATTCTTCAGAAACGTCACTTTTGAAGTGTTTTCTTGTACTTTTAAGCCAATCAGATACCTTACGGGCTCGGAAAATGCAACGAAACCATCAAATTTTAGCTAGAAACTGTATTTTTGTCGATTTTTATTGAATTTGAACTATATTTCAACGTTTTTTGATGGTTCTGAGCCACCAAACACACTTAAAGCATGCAGAATCGACTCAGAATAGGAAAAGGAGACGTTTAGGTCAATTTTATGCATTCTGGCGTTCGTAGATACAAGAAAACTGTTAAAATTCTTCAGAAACGTCACTTTTGAAGTGTTTTCTTGTACTTTTAAGCCAATCAGATACCCTACGGGCTCGGAAAGTGCAACGAAACCATCAAATTTTAGCTAGAAACTGTATTTTTGTCGATTTTTATTGAATTTGAATTATATTTCAACGTTTTTTGATGGTTCTGAGCCACCAAACACACTTAAAGCATGCAGAATCGACTCAGAATAGGAAAAGGAGACGTTTAGGTCAATTTTATGCATTCTGGCGTTCGTAGATACAAGAAAACTGTTAAAATTCTTCAGAAACGTCCCTTTTGAAGTGTTTTCTTGTACTTTTAAGCCAATCAGATACCCTACGGGCTCGGAAAGTGCAACGAAACCATCAAATTTTAGCTAGAAACTGTATTTTTGTCGATTTTTATTGAATTTGAACTATATTTCAACGTTTTTTGATGGTTCTGAGCCACCAAACACACTTAAAGCATGCAGAATCGACTCAGAATAGGAAAAGGAGACGTTTAGGTCAATTTTATGCATTCTGGCGTTCGTAGATACAAGAAAACTGTTAAAATTCTTCAGAAACGTCACTTTTGAAGTGTTTTCTTGTACTTTTAAGCCAATCAGATACCCTACGGGCTCGGAAAGTGCAACGAAACCATCAAATTTTAGCTAGAAACTGTATTTTTGTCGATTTTTATTGAATTTGAACTATGTTTCAACGTTTTTTGATGGTTCTGAGCCACCAAACACACTTAAAGCATGCAGAATCGACTCAGAATAGGAAAAGGAGACGTTTAGGTCAATTTTATGCATTCTGGCGTTCGTAGATACAAGAAAACTGTTAAAATTCTTCAGAAACGTCACTTTTGAAGTGTTTTCTTGTACATTTAAGCCAATCAGATACCCTACGGGCTCGGAAAGTGCAACGAAACCATCAAATTTTAGCTAGAAACTGTATTTTTGTCGATTTTTATTGAATTTGAACTATATTTCAACGTTTTTTGATGGTTCTGAGCCACCAAACACACTTAAAGCATGCAGAATCGACTCAGAATAGGAAAAGGAGACGTTTAGGTCAATTTTATGCATTCTGGCGTTCGTAGATACAAGAAAACTGTTAAAATTCTTCAGAAACGTCAGTTTTGAAGTGTTTTCTTGTACTTTTAAGCCAATCAGATACCCTACGGGCTCGGAAAGTGCAACGAAACCATCAAATTTTAGCTAGAAACTGTATTTTTGTCGATTTTTATTGAATTTGAACTATATTTCAACGTTTTTTGATGGTTCTGAGCCACCAAACACACTTAAAGCATGCAGAATCGACTCAGAATAGGAAAAGGAGACGTTTAGGTCAATTTTATGCATTCTGGCGTTCGTAGATACAAGAAAACTGTTAAAATTCTTCAGAAACGTCACTTTTGAAGTGTTTTCTTGTACTTTTAAGCCAATCAGATACCCTACGGGCTCGGAAAGTGCAACGAAACCATCAAATTTTAGCTAGAAACTGTATTTTTGTCGATTTTTATTGAATTTGAACTATATTTCAACGTTTTTTGATGGTTCTGAGCCACCAAACACACTTAAAGCATGCAGAATCGACTCAGAATAGGAAAAGGAGACGTTTAGGTCAATTTTATGCATTCTGGCGTTCGTAGATACAAGAAAACTGTTAAAATTCTTCAGAAACGTCACTTTTGAAGTGTTTTCTTGTACTTTTAAGCCAATCAGATACCCTACGGGCTCGGAAAGTGCAACGAAACCATCAAATTTTTGCTAGAAACTGTATTTTTTTCGATTTTTATTGAATTTGAACTATATTTCAACGTTTTTTGATGGTTCTGAGCCACCAAACACACTTAAAGCATGCAGAATCGACTCAGAATAGGAAAAGGAGACGTTTAGGTCAATTTTATGCATTCTGGCGTTCGTAGATACAAGAAAACTGTTAAAATTCTTCAGAAACGTCACTTTTGAAGTGTTTTCTTGTACTTTTAAGCCAATCAGATACCCCACGGGCTCGGAAAGTGCAACGAAACCATCAAATTTTAGCTAGAAACTGTATTTTTGTCGATTTTAATTGAATTTGAACTATATTTCAACGTTTTTTAATGGTTCTGAGCCACCACACACACTTAAAGCATGCAGAATCGACTCAGAATAGGAAAAGGAGACGTTTAGGTCAATTTTATGCATTCTGGGGTTGGTAGATACAAGAAAACTGTTAAAATTCTTCAGAAACGTCACTTTTGAAGTGTTTTCTTGTACTTTTAAGCCAATCAGATACCCTACGGGCTCGGAAAGTGCAACGAAACCATCAAATTTTAGCTAGAAACTGTATTTTTGTCGATTTTAATTGAATTTGAACTATATTTCAACGTTTTTTGATGGTTCTGAGCCACCAAACACACTTAAAGCATGCAGAATCGACTCAGAATAGGAAAAGGAGACGTTTAGGTCAATTTTATGCATTCTGGCGTTCGTAGATACAAGAAAACTGTTAAAATTCTTCAGAAAAGTCACTTTTGAAGTGTTTTCTTGTACTTTTAAGCCAATCAGATACCCTACGGGCTCGGAAAGTGCAACGAAACCATCAAATTTTAGCTAGAAACTGTATTTTTGTCGATTTTTATTGAATTTGAACTATATTTCAACGTTTTTTGATGGTTCTGAGCCACCAAACACACTTAAAGCATGCAGAATCGACTCAGAATAGGAAAAGGAGACGTTTAGGTCAATTTTTTGCATTCTGGCGTTCGTAGATACAAGAAAACTGTTAAAATTCTTCAGAAACGTCACTTTTGAAGTGTTTTCTTGTACTTTTAAGCCAATCAGATACCCTACGGGCTCGGAAAGTGCAACGAAACCGTCAAATTTTAGCTAGAAACTGTATTTTTGTCGATTTTTATTGAATTTGAACTATATTTCAACGTTTTTTGATGGTTCTGAGCCACCAAACACACTTAAAGCATGCAGAATCGACTCAGAATAGGAAAAGGAGACGTTTAGGTCAATTTTATGCATTCTGGCGTTCGTAGATACAAGAAAACTGTTAAAATTCTTCAGAAACGTCACTTTTGAAGTGTTTTCTTGTACTTTTAAGCCAATCAGATACCCTACGGGCCCGGAAAGTGCAACGAAACCATCAAATTTTAGCTAGAAACTGTATTTTTGTCGATTTTTATTGAATTTGAACTATATTTCAACGTTTTTTGATGGTTCTGAGCCACCAAACACACTTAAAGCATGCAGAATCGACTCAGAATAGGAAAAGGAGACGTTTAGGTCAATTTTTTGCATTCTGGCGTTCGTAGATACAAGAAAACTGT